AACACGAGGCGGAAGGCTCTGCCCCACGCGCTCTGGGGTGGGTGTCCTGCTCAGTTTTATGTTTATGAATCCTGCTTGTGCCATTTCCCTTAATTAATGTCAGGTGACTTCCCTCCTTTCATTAAAAGTTTCTTTTCTACACTCAGACTCTGTGCTTGCGAGTGGGGAAGTTTTGCCTCTCAGGCACCCAGGGGTGGTGTGGAATTTTCCCAGGTTACTGGGTGGGGGCTCGAGCCAGTTCTGTGTTGTATTGTTGAAAAGGAACCCCTAGATACTGATTCCAGCCCTGGTTGCTGCCGGCTCCACCTGGCAGAAGGGTTACACTTTGTCTGAAGTGTAACTCAGGTATATCTCATGGGTTTGTCTATTAATGAGCTAGGGTACACAGAGATCAGACTGAATTTGGATTACAGTCATGCCACAAAGCACAAATAACACGGTGCAGCCCTGCTCCCACTGAAGTTGATGGGAGTTTTGACCTTAATTTCAATGGGAGCGGGAGTGGACCCACATGTTGTTCTCTTCCTTTGCCTGAAGCCAGGATTGTGAAATGCTGGTTTCTCTAGTAAGAAATTAAATAATGGTGCTCTCAGACATCCCCTCCCAAACTCCAGACAGTTATGCATGCCAACTCTTACGTGCACAAAACTTCCTATGCAACGTCCTGGATACCCCGTTCCGCAACCTTTACTAGGGCAGAAGCAGTCCTTGCTCACAGCATCGAAGTCAATTGGGATCACTGGGGTGCAGGCCTGCAGGATCAAGTTCCAAGTGCACATGGGAAAAACCCTGATACCCATATGCACAAAGCCTGTAGTGGGAAGGAGGGGGACCATGTCTATTTATTTTCGTCTATAATACACAGCTAATGAAAAGGCTCATCCCAAGCTTGGGAGGGGTTACAAGATTCCTTATTCAAAGAATAAGGAATAACATTACATTAAAGGTCTAGAAAACATGACCTATGAGGGAAGATTGAAAAAAATGGGTTTGTTTAGTCTGGAGAAGAGAAGACTGAGAGGGGACATGATAACAGTTTTCAAGTACATAAAAGATTGTTAGAAGGAGGAGGGAGAAAAATTGTTCTTCTTAACCTCTGAGGATGGGCTTAAATTGCAGCAAGGGCAGTTTATATTGGACATTTGGAAAAACTTCCTAACTGTGAGAGTGGTGAAGCACTGGAATAAATTGCCCAGAGAGGTTGTGGAATCTCCATCATTGGGGATTTTTAAGAGCAGGTTGGACAAACACCTGTCAGGGATGGTCTAAAAGATAATACTTAGTCCTGCCATGAGTGCAGGGGACTGGACTAGATGACCTCTTTTAGGTCCCTTCCAGTTCTATGATTCTATGATTAAATAGCTTAGATCCAATGCCACTGTCCCCCATAACCATCCTTGGGTCCAGTCCCCAATGTAATTCCCCCATGACCCTTGCAGTGCAGCCCATCAGCCCAGGCAGAGCAGGGTGGGAAGCGTGTTCTAGAGGTGAGGGGCTCTCCTGGAGAATGCTCAAGGGCCTCAGCTATCTAGGTCCCCAGCACAGCCCCAAGTCTAAGAACACCTCTAAATTGCTAACTTCTTTCACATATAATGGCCAGTCACCGTCAGTTGGCAGAGCTGATCAAATTCCAGTCAGTTCTTCTAGCTACGTCCCCCACCCGAACAATATTACCTCCATCTGGTCCTGACTGAGCCTCACCCAATGAGACCTCACCCCAACCCCAGTCTCCAGTAGGCAGCAGGTAGCCAGCCCTCTCCACCAGTGGGATCATCCATAACGGAGCTATAAGGATAGTTATTCTCAACACACAGCAGATAGCGTGACCCACATCTCCTTGCTAATCCACCTAGTATACATATACTTCCCGACCATACAGTATCCTTCAAAAGAGAGCCCTTGGCTTAATCAATTGCCCTTGATCACCACCTGGGTCCTTCCGTATTAAAAGGAATGGAGCCACTGCCAAGCTGTCTCACCTCTTCCTGCTAAGGACGACCACACACCCTCATTACTCACCACAGCAAAGGCACCCAAGAGATCAAACAGAATCAGCTGGGACACACATTCTATTCTCTAAAAAGCAACAGAGGGTCCTGTGACACCTTTGAGACTAACAGAAGTACTGGGAGCATAAGCTTTCGTGGGTAAGAACCTCACTTCTTGCATCTGAAGAAGTGAG